AAAAAAAAAAGAAGAGGAAAAGGTCTTCTGTCTTTTTTTGTTTCCGGAAGTGAAGCTAAAATAGAATTGAAAAGAGAGCCTAGACAGAGCACAAACTGCTTCTTGAGAAAACAGGAAAGCAAGAGAGGTTGAGAGTTATTTTCACAATCACAATATAGCTAAAGGAGAGCCAAGATGTAGAATAGCATAGTCAATGCTAGTTTTAGAAATTGAGAGCGTCTCTCCTGTTCATACCAATAATGTCTTTTGGCACCCTATTTTTATCTACCTCTGCTAAAACTCGGCGCTTCAATCAAATCCTTCACTTATGTTGGCATCCTCCTTAGCTCACCCAAGAGGCGGATTTAGGATTTCTAATAACATGGGTGCGCTACTAAAAAAAAAAGGAGGAAAAATGTATTAAGTAGAAATTGATTTCTATTCTTTTAAATAATTAAATTAACCTTCAACCAAATGAATCATTCAACCTCCTTGAAACATGAGTGTCAACAGTTAAATATTAAACTAATTTTAGAAAATACGTACATAAAATATCTAATTTTACGGAAAGACCACGGGTTCACGTGCCCCATATTTTTGCCTATAAATCCGCCCCTGGCTCACCCGCACCCTTAGGTATTGGGTGGGGCAGATCTGTCATCATTCTTCACCGTCCTTCCTAATACTCCCTCCGTTTCAATTTATGCGAACGCATTTGACTAGACACGTAGTTTAAGAAAAGAATGAAGACTTTTAAACTTAAGGTGTAAAATGAGACACATATATATTGTGTGACTATAAATCATTACATAAAGGTAAATTATTTCCAAATAAGGAAATGCGTCATTCTTTTTTGCACAGACTAAAAATGAAATAGGTTCTGAGTAAATAAGTTACCTGAAGGCATGGATGAAGATACAAGCATTATTACTAGAAGGAAAAAATGAATCTTAAGCACGGCCTCGGAAAGCAAAAAAAGGATTGAAGCAAAAGAGAAATTAAGTGCTTTTAAAGCAAATGAAGGAAAACAAAAAGAAGAAAAAGACTAAATCTGACCTTCCCAAATAAAACTTTCCATACTGTACTATGCACAAATGATAAAATACCGAGAAGTCGTGTCTCTCTTCTGTTTCCCTGCAGCATTATGAAGATTTTAGAACCATTACTACATCAATATAAAAAATGAAACTCATCAAACTATTATTCAAATAACCATCATTTTGCTTGCTTAAACATTAAAAAATTGAAGTGGCCTGACATTCTTCAGCAAGAATATATAGCTGTGGGAGCACCATTGAAGCTAAGCCACTAGGTTTCCTTTTTACCTTACGTTCTAAACTTTTTTTTTATGAGTAAACCTCAAATTCTGAACTTTTCCATAGGCGATGCAGTTAGAATAAACGGAAAAGGGCCTAAAATGCCCCTTTACTATATGAAATAGGATAGGCTAGCCCTCCGTTAAAAGTTGGTTTCTATTATGCCCTTGCCGTCAACAAATGGGCTCGTATATGCCCTCCATCACTAACGGACATATATGAGTTGGTTATAATAGTCATTTCTCAAATACTTCACAACTCCATATCAGTTTACTTAGACATTTATTTGACAACACCAAACTAATTATCATAGTAAATAAACTCAGTCATAGACACAACAAATGAACGGTAATGACTTCATTAAATCCTTGTACAAAAATATAATGCTTCATTACATAATAAAAGACAATAATTAAGCCACAATAACACTAACATTACATATCATTTCCCACTGATCCAAAGAACATAACAAAACATCCCAATATCACACACATGAAAATCCACATCTTCCGAAATTTAGCATCAAGCACAACTGAGTACTCTAAATCGGTCACTTTCTTCATTAGAACATTTATTTCCAATTCCAAGGCTTCTATTCCTCCATGATCGACGAGCATCATAACATTCTCAAGATCAAATTTTCCTTTGGAGAGCATTTCTTTCACGGATTAGAGCTTCCTTTTCCTTCTTTAAACTGCATATGAGATTTGAAACTCTAGGAGGAAGCTCTACATCTTGCCATTCCCAATAGGAATATTTTTCATCCTAAAAACCAAAAATAAATAAAATAAATTTACAAGCAAATCGGAATAATTAAAAGATCCCATCAAAATATTTACTTACCTCATGCTGCGGGCACTTGAAAAACTTTCTCCCAGCATTTAAAGGAGTCCATGCCATGAAATAATTGGCAGCAAGTCCGCAATGACACCTCCTATTCGACCCATTTGAGCTACTAGAACATTCCGACATTGTCTTTTGTTGTCTTTTGTTATGATTCAACCCCTTTGAGCTACTAGGATTTAATGAAGTCATTGCCTTTCATTTGAATGCTTGTGTCTATGACTTAGTTTATTTGTTGTGATAATTAGTTTGGTGTTGTCAAATAGGTGTCTAAGTAAACTGATATGGAGTTGTGAAGTGTTTGAGAAATGACTATTATAACTGACTCATATATGCCCATGTACAATTCGAACTAGGTCTAACTTGCTCTCACATATATTCCACGTGGCTTTATGAGTCTCCCGTTAGTGATGGAGGGCATATACGAGCCCATTTGTTGACGGCAATGGCAGAATAGAGACCAACTTTTAACGAAGGGCTAGCCTGTCCTATTTCATATAGTAAATGGGCATTTTAGGCCCTTTTCCGTAGAATAAAATATGTGCTTAACAGAACATATTCTCATTTCTTTTAGAGACCTAGTCATGGGTGACAAGATAAATTCACTATAGTCAAGCTGTTTTTCAGTGCATTGTTTTGAAGAAGCCATTTCAGCGAAAGAGTATGAAGGATAGTTGCATACAGATATGTTGGGAAAGTGATCAGCTGTAATATTTGTTGTTCTTTTCATTCCAAGCTAATAAGAGACCATATCTCTTGCTCGCTCCCATTCCTAAACCATTTAATTCCCCCCAATCAAGATTAAAAGCAGCAGGTCAGGAATTACAGTACCTTTTACCTGTGGCAGAGGAGTTCTAGAATCCGTGCTCCAACAGCATAGCCAGCGCCCTCTAACTTTTTTTTTTTTTTTTTTAATGTTTTAAAAGGAGAAGGGCAAACATTTAGGAATTAAGAGAAAAGTAGTAATGGGAGCAGTAGAAAGAGCGATTGGGTGGGTACCTAGTCTCCAATTAAGTAATATTGTCAACTTGGGTTTGATTGTACTGAACAATCTCAGAAAACAAGAATGCAAAACCACTCAAACTCACCTGCAAAGAATCAAATCACTTCTCTACAAACAAACTACTTTTAGTGAAAGAAAACTTTATTGCTCAAAGATGTAAGGAAGGGTACCTCTTGCTTGCCCTTGCTGAGGGATCTGTCGAGGACGTTTGTGTACTGCTTCATTTTTCCGCCCTAGATCGATTCAACCCAACACCGATTTACTTCACAAATAGCGAAGGTGGAGTGGGAAAAAGTCTATACATCATTTCAGAAAGCAGATTATAAATTGCTCAATTTATACGTCACATTCGTTAATGGCGACTTATAAATCATTGCTCAAATGCCACATAAATTGTAACAGCTGAATGCAGACATATAATCGCAACAGATAATAAATCGGAGCTAGCAATCAAAGAATGTGACTTATAAATCACATTTGTTGAAATAATATAAATTTGTATTACGACTATAAATCACGTCAGTCGACTTATAAATCAATTGATTGAATGCAAGATATACATTGGTCGAATGCAACTATAAATCATGTTAAGCAATGCGACTCGTAAATCACATATTCAACCTCGACTTATAAATCACATTGAATACAGACATATAAATTGCATTGGTGATTGCGCTTATCAATTGCATTGACCGAATGCCACTTAGACATCACATTAGTTGAATATGCATTACATAAGTCGTATTAGTCTAATGCAACTTAAAAATCGCTTTACGTGAATGTATTTTATAAATCGTTTTTACATAAATGCATTTTATAAATGACATACGCTATTATTGACATGGCTTGTAAATCGCATTAGGTGAATGCTACTTACAAGTCACTGTGTGAATGTGACTTTTTAATCGCGTTGCATGAATACGACTTGTAAATCGTTTGAGACGAATGCTACTTGTATTTCGCACTAGCTTAATCAACATAAATCATTTCAGACTACGGCTTATGCTATGAATTTCTTTTTATTTTTCTATTATTTTAAGGAATGGACAAGTCTTTACGGAATCTGATTAATTATTAGAAGGTAACTACTAACTAGTACATACATTATACTATAAATAAATTGCTCAAAGCTTGACTTTACGTCGTCATGAGTCACGTGACTCACGTCTAGGTAGGTATAAGCTTTTACTCTATCTTATATTTTTCATTTAAATCTGTTTCAAAAACACTACTAAAAAATTCGGGAAAAATCGACCAACCAAAAAACCGTCCAAAACGGACGGAAACTACAAAAAAAATATTTTACAACAACAACAACAACAACGACCTAGTGAAATCCCACTAGTGGGGTCTGGGGAGGATAGTGTGTACGCAGACTTTACCCCTACCCCTACCCCAAGGGAGTAGAGAAGTTGTTTTCGAAAGACCCCCGGCTCAAGAAGACGAAATTTTTTTTTAAATATTTTTTAAAAATTACATACCGACCAAAGTTGGTCGGTATATTGGTCAAACATTTGACCGCAGTGGTCAGACTTGCTTAGTCAAAGCACCTTTTTGATTACCGACCAACAATGGTCGGTAATGTGGACCCATATTTTTAAATTTTAATAATTATATTATTATTTAAAATATTTTATAAAATTTATAGAATTTGTAGTTAAGTTTATCGACCAAAGTCGGTCGGTTATTGCAGGGGAAGATTTTACCGAACTTTGGTCGGTATATGTAATTTCTGGAAAATAACCGACCAAAGTTGGTCGGTTAATAGGTCAAGCATGGTAAAACTTTTGAATCACATTAATATAAATATAATTCGTTAACACTTTATTTTGTAATACAAATAATGAATACACTAACATATACTATAACAAGCTATATATAGTTAAAGTAGTACAACGAAGTGTGTGTGTATATATATATAGGTATAGCCGCACATAAATAAAAACACGAAGCGCTAGGGCCACATGGTCGGGTTCTTTTGGGGATAGACTTGTGAAGAAGCAATAATCTAATTAGTATATATAATTGATCATCATCAAATATATCTATTTGTAAATTAATTTATCGACTTATAACTTACTTAGATGCATCAATGAATATTAAAAACAAAACGTTTTGACCTATATCGATAAATATTAAAAATAAAACGTCTCGATCTATATCGATTAATCTATGTCATGCATTATTAGTGATGAATGAATGAAATGTAGAAAAATTAATACTAAACATCTTTGACGTGTATATATGGATCACAAATTAAAGAAATGAAAGAACTTATTAGCATTAAGTAAACGAGTTAATAGGTCAAACATGGTCAAACTTTTAGATCACATTAATATCTACTATCTAAATAATATAAATGTAATATGTTAACACTTTATTTTGTAATACAAATAATGAATACACTAACATATACTATAACAAGTTATATATAGTTAAAGTAGTACAACGAAGTGTCTCTCTCTCTCTCTCTCTCTCTCTCTCTCTCTCTCTATATATATATATATATATATATATATATATATATATATATAGGTA